CGGCCTGCACGAGCGCCGCGTCTTCCACCTGAGAGTCACCGAGCCCGCCGCCCAGCCGCCCCCGCGGAACTCGCCGGGCAACGGCTCCAGCCACAGCAGCGCCCCCGGCCCAGGTGCAGAAGGCCGCCCTGGGAGCCTGGGGAACGTCTCCGGGGAAGGGAACGGCGAGGCGCGTTTGGCAGCAGCCAACCTCCCTGATCCACTCCTGTCACACATCAGGAACCTGGGTGTGAGCGGAGGGGAGGCCCCGGGGGCGGCGGCCACCCGTCCCTTACCAAGACCCATGCGGCGCCGCTGGGGAGGCACGGTCGGGGTGCACTGCTCGGTGGGTCTCGCCGGGCGCTCCCTGACGCTGCCCCCGCACGGCCCCAGCAGACCCCACGCTGGCGCGCGGACGCAGCGTCATCAACGTCATCGTCCCCGAAGGCCGAGCGCACTTCTTCCAGCAGCTGGGCTACGTGCTGGCCACCCTTCTGCTCTTCATCCTCCTGCTTATCACTGTCGTCCTGGCCACCCGACAGCGCCGCCGCGGAGGTGAGCCGAGGCTCCACAGCGCAGGGCCTGAGCCCAGAACTAGGAAGCCTTTCCCGACCCGAGGTCTGGGGTGTGGGGGCCTGAGCAGAGGGCCCAGTGAGCCCGGGTGCTGGGTTTGGGAGGGTTCTTCTGGGCTAGGGGAGCAGGGGAGGGAACGAGGCTGACCCCAACACGAGTCTCCCTCCCCAGGCTACGAATACTCCGACAAGAAGTTGAAATCCAAGGGGTTGAGTGCCCCTCCCAGCTCTCCCCGGGACTGGGTAGACCCACCCACTACTCTAACCTCCCACCACCCTCCTCCTCCAGGAAGGACGTGAACATGGCAGAGTTTGCTGTGGCCACAGGAGATCAGGCTCTTTACAGGAGTGAGGACATCCAACTAGGTGAGGGGCCCCGTGCGACCTCAAGGGATAGACTGTGCCTCCCAGGCCTGTGGTGGGGGAGGCACATCTCTGGGAGGGCCTTCACCCTGCTCTCTCCGGGTACCAGATTACAAAAACAACATCCTGAAGGAGAGGGCTGAGCTGGCCCACAGTCCCCTGCCCCCGAAGAACATCGACTTGGACAAAGGTGAGTGGAGTTGAGGGAGGGAGACCCCTGCCCATCTCAGAGCCGGCTGGCACCCCACTGCACCTGCTCAGAACGCCAAGGCACCAGCCACACCACGGGCAGGAGTCCCCTGCCACCTCAGTGTTCCAGATGCCCCCGAGCAGTCCTCCTGGATGTCTGCCCTATTTCCCCTCCTCCCCCTGCAACAGAGAAACAGAGGGCAGACACCCACCTGTCCCCTTGGCTTCCAGAGTTCAGGAAGGAGTACTGCAAGTAAGGTGATCCCGGGCTCCTGGCTGGGCCAGCAGCTCTGCCAGCTCCTGCCTGTCCGTCTCGGAGGACTCCTCCTGGCCCCTATGCAGCTCACCTGGCCCCCCTTCCAGCGGCTGGTTCCGCTGTCCTGGAGCTTGGCCTGGACTGGTGCAGCGTGAGGCTGCCTCCAGACCCCTCTCAGGAGCCACCCTGTCCTCACCAGCAATAGTGGGCTCCCAGGGACTGCGGGCCCTGCAGCTGTGCCCTTCAGCACCCTCGGCTGGTGCCCTTCCCTCCTCCTCCTCCTGCAGCCACCCCCTCCCAAGTTTTCCTGGCTTCTGCCTCCTGGGGGCCCGGAGTCCCACCTCTGCAGGGCTGGGGGTGGGAAGACACTCTTGGAGGAGCTCAGGGGGAGTCTCAGAGCTGGGACTCGCCTTGGGGCTGGCACTCCCACCCTCCTCACCCTTCCTTGGGGAGTGCCTGCTGGCTCCCCTAGGCTGTACTGTGTTACCTGCCAGCTGCCGTGGCCTCTGCACGGGAACCTGAGGACTGCATACTCCACGCCGTGGGCTAACATCCCTTTGTGCTGCCCCGGGCCCCCTGGTGCTGCCCTGGGGCCCCTTCTCTGCTTTCCACCCTGCTCCAGCCCCATTTCCAACAAGCTGCCTTGACAGTCACTAGGCTCCACGTGACTTTTGACCCTGACCCCCTTCCCTTAGCTCCCTGGGCTGGAGTCCGGGGGTGAGGCCTCCTTTGACTTCTGTTTTGGCTGAGGACAGGAGGGGGTTGAAGATGCTTTTAGAGTGGCCAGAGCTGCCACTCCTGACACCCCACATTTGCTCATCCCAGGGAATTGCCACCGTCACAATAAAGACCACACCTGATTTTTAGACTTGGCCCCAGGTATGTCTCTTCTCTCCCCCTCCATCTCCCTGGAGGGCAGAGTCTGGGCCTTGGGAACCCCCGAGTGCTTTCCTTCATCTGAAGTCACACTGTCATCACCCACACATTGGGTGAAGGTCTAAGAAGGGCGACGGTAGTCGATTGTATGCACTTATTCCTGGTTGGGAAGGAGTTTCACATCCTCTTCTGAGGGTTTATTTGGACGTGGCGGCTGTGTTGGTGGATGTGAAGGTAGAGGGTAGACTGTATCAGTTTAGTCCTCTGAGAAGGGACGTGGACACTGAGATGAGATTAGATGTACGAGGATAAACGGGGAGGAAGCAGATAGCAGGAGGGCATTCAGACAGGGGTGCTGGCAGCACACGAGGGAAGGGAAGGGAGCTGCTGGGGGAAGAAACCCATTCCTCCAACCTTGACCTCATCCTCCAAAGCCCTCCCAGGACAGCAGGGGGCAGGAAAGAGTGACTGTCACCCTACTTGGAAAATCCAGAGCAGTGTGTTGAGAGTGTGCGGATTCTGACCTGCTGAGTGAGGAAGCACCAGATACCACATGGGGTTGGGTCGGCAGCTGGCTCCCCCAGTATCCCAGCTCCCACTTTGGGAAAGTGAAAACCCCAGGGTCCTTTGATGAAGGCACAGTTTCAATACCTCACACAAAGAACTAGAGTCACAAAACTTGTTACTCAGAGATCCTGCTGTTGGTGGGGACGGTGCCCAGTGAGCTAGGGGAAGGGCAGTCTTACAACCAGGCCCCTGGTGAGCAGGAGATGGACAGGAGGGTAGTGGGCATCTATGACTTATAAGGTGGTTGCGGCGGCAGTCACTGACTTTCACGGGCTCAACTCTGGTCATTTTAAAAGATGGCCCAGAAAAAGCAAGGTGGTGGAAATCCTTATCTAAATGACCCGACTCCCGGTATGGGCAGGGTCGTCACACTGTGAAGTGCCTGGGCAGCAACTCAAAATAGCTGTTTTCTCATCACGCTGACCCCATGGTGGCAAAGGCAGGGAGGGAGGCTGGGACGAGCAGCTGTGGCTGGCTTCAGAATGTGCCTCCCTCCCAGCCCAAGGACTCCTGGCCCCACAAAGCCACACTGCCACTGGACAAGGCACCTCCTGTAAGAGTTCAGGCTGTGGTCACAAACTCACCCTCCTTGAAGGGGCCCAGCTGGACCACTTCAGCACTGGCGCTGGGATTGGCCTCTGGCCTTTGGTTACCAGCCTCTCTCCTGTGACTTGGGCTGTTTCAGGTGGGAGACAGAGGCTTGGGGGCTGGAGTGCAGCTGGGGCATCAGATCCCCTGCATCTGTGTGACCTGCAGCCATTAGTGTTTGGCCTGGGGGTGCTGGTCCCCTGGTGAGCTCTCATGGCACCATTTTCCCCCTTCCCTGAATACCCAGCAGACAGCCACGAAGGACCCTTCCTCTAAGGCCATCCTGCCTGGTTTCCTTAGATTACCTCTGGGGACACTGAGACCCAAGAGGAGAAGGCCCAGGCTTTGCTGGGTGGGTGCCAACCTCACAGAGCCCTGCTCTCCTCATCAGAGCCTAGGGGAATGGAGGTCAGGACCCACGCCCTAGGCTCACCGGGGGTGGTCCCTAGCCTAGACTTATGGCCAAACTCTGGTTCCTCCAGTCAGTGATGGACTAATAGAGTCTTTTCTTGTTCTGATCCACTGCCTGCGAATGGCCATGACCTGGTATGCAGGAGAGTACCAGGCTCTGCCAGCCTTGAGGGAAGTGCTGGAGACAGGTCTCAGGGGCATCACTCTCAGGCCCTATCCTAGGGCCTTTCCCCTTCTTGCTCTGGCCAGCATGGGCCTCCTAGTGGCCTCAAGTTTTCCTGCTGGGGTAGGGGAGGGAGAACAGCCGTCCCCAGTGGGCTGGACCCCTCACACTGCGTTTTCCTTGCCCCATAGAGGACCCCAGGCTGGTTGGATGGACAGGAGCCGGGGAAAAAGTCCCTACACTGGCTGTCAGGAGCACCGTGCCCAGGCACCTCCTGCGTGCGTGCGTGCGTGCACACGGCTGCCCGTGCTGACCCCCACTGTCGCCTGAGCATCACAAACACGTGTTCACACTTTCACTCCCACGTCCACATGGGCATCTGCATTCACTTGGCTTCTATTTCTTGAAGCCCCCGTAGGACCTGGAGCGCCAGCTCCAAGCTGGTGCGGGGGCGCAAAGTGACCAAGTGTCCTCAGTTCCAGCCCGGACACAAGAATTCCCGCGGTCTCCCGCAGCCCGCCGATGTGACCTGGGCGCCTCCGGACTCTAAAGGGATGGAGACCCGGAACCGGGCCGCGCGGAACCCCTCCGAAGACTTCCGGTGGGGGACGCGACGGGCAGACGGGGTGCGGAGCCTCCGGAAGGTCCCCACCCACCTTTTCCTCAAGGGGTGCCCCCCAGACCGCCCATAGGCCGAGAATCAGGGACCCCAGGACGCTGGCCTGCGCGTGTCGGGGGCGCCCGGGGCGTGGGCCGAAGGCTCTGAGCCCGGGACGCAGGCAGGGAAACCCCGCCACCC